ACGTCCTCCACAACTAGACTGAAGAACAAAACGACAGCAACTTGTCTGTTTCCCTTCCCCCAATTCCCCAGCACTGTTCCCATCCCCCAATTCCCCAATTAAAAAAAACAAAAAGAAACTTGGATTCCTGGGTCCACTCCAACTTCCCGAATCAGCCTGGGTGAGCTCAGAAAATGGCACCTTCATCAGGCTCCCCAGATGATTTTTACACTCTCTGCATTTTGAAGAAGCATCTTGACTGCTGTCGTCCTGGCCTCTTCCCTGCACCCTGACCCTGACCCTGACACAGAAGGATTGTTGGGTGTAGACTGGATACAGAGGCTTTCCTAAAAGCCTAGGAGCAATCTGAGGGCGGGGCCTTGGCTTTCCTGCTTCTTTTAGCAGGAGCTCAGTAGGTGTCTGTTAGTCATTACCATAATGGGAGAGGATACCATGAGCCCACGACATTGGTGAGAGCTAAGAGAATTTCTTAAATCATTTCCACAGCTGGTTGAGTGTTAACACAAATGTGACTGTCTGGGCTTGGCCTGGCTATTGTAGCAAAAAAGCTTTCCAGCTAGATGGTGGTCTTGCCTCACTCATTTACTCACTGAGTGTTTGAATTAGTTTTCTTTCCTTTCTTCCTTCTTCCCTACCCCCTTCTCTTCTTCTTCTTCTCTCCCCTCCTCTCTTCTTCTCTTCATTTCTCTCTGTCCATCTCCCTCTCAGTTGCAAGTAACAACAGAAACAAATTCTGGAGAACTTAAGGAATAAGAAATTTAATGGATTACCAAGGGCTCACAGAATTTTGGGGAAGGAAGGAAACAGGAAAAACAAGTGGCACCTCACCAGGATGAACAGAAAACAGCCATTTTTAATCATCACTGTGTTCTAGATTTAAATTTGGGGGAGTATCTGAGCATGCCTTACAAGACTGAATCCAGTAAGGAAGGGCAGTCCCCAGAAGGAGCTCAGGTGCTGTTGGAAATGGGGAAGGATGCCAGGCCTTCATCTGACCATCCAGATGTCCATGGGGCACTGAGTCAATTCCAACACAGTCCCCATCTTTAGGGGATGCACAGTCAGGTTGGGGAGACAACCATGGCAACGGGGGCCACCAGGGGTTATGACAGAGGGACACGCTGGGCTGTTGGAGCAGAGAGGCTCTCCTCAGCTTCAGTGGGAGAGAGGTGGGGGGCAGAGGTTAGGAAAGACAGGTCTCTGGACGACATGACGTCTTGAAATGAGAGGGAAATCCACTCCCCAGAAACACCCATTTGTACAAAGTTGCCGTCCTTCCACCAAGAAGCTAGTTGAGTTTTGGCCAAGTTACGGCTTTCAGAGAGGTTGTGAGAGTTGAGACAAGGCTCCGGGGCGGGTGCCGAGGATTGGGATCCCACGCCTAGCTCGACGCTCTGCGTCCTGTGCTCGATGCAGCTTCTCGGGGAAGGAAGACCCTGGCTTCCTCTGCAGGATCAGGCTGAAGGTCACCGGCCCCCCAGTCCAGCTGCAGTCCATTCACCCTGCTCTTTCCTGTGGAAGTCAGGCTCCCCCAGACCCATGCTCACTCAAGCACATGCTATGACAATGCCTGTAGGTCCCGGAGGAGCTCTCTCTAGTTTCTGCTTAATCCACTCTTGGCCCAGGTCCATCTGCCCACCATGGAGGAAGGAATAGAGAAGGAATGACTGACACCCAGGTGCTTTCCTGCCCATCCATCCCTTTCTTTCTCCAGGGGCATGCTGCTTCCAGCATTGTACTGCCTCCTGCACAAAACAGGGGCAAGAGGGGTATACAAGAACTGCTGGGCGACTTGGTAATTTTGTGGGCACTTACCTGAGTGTTGGAAGCACCCATCACTTCCTTCCTGCCTGTACACCCTGTGTCCTGACAGGCATGTTACTGCTACATGGACCAGGTGGACAAGTCCATCCAGGACCAGTGAATCTCTCTTTGGGAATCTGTAATTGTGACATTGAGACAGGGGTTAAGGTGGGAAGTCACATGGGCACAGTTGTGATGGCTGCTAGATGAGCAGTGGCTGAGAAGCACAGAAGCCAGTCTGGGCAGTGAGGGCAGGGAGGGAGGGAGAACCAGAGAAAGAGAGAGAGGAAGAAGAGGAAGAGGGGAGGAGGAAGAAGAGAGAGACAGGGGAGAGGGGAGGACACTTCAATTTCTTCTTTCTTTCCAGTTTCTTGCGAAGCCTGTTATCTATGTCCCGTCCTTGAGTCCTTCCCATCGCTGACATCCTGTGACAGCTGGCGCTCCCATCTCTCTTATTTAGATTAGCTTGAAGTGTTCCTGCTTACCAAAAGGAAAAAAGAACCCTTGACCGAGGCGCCCAGCAAACATTAGGAACAAAGTTTGCCTACAAATTGCTATGTCTCTCTAATGCGAGTGAGTTCCTGAAATTCATCACACATTATTTATTAAAATAACAAGATGGATACTGCTTTGGCTTGCGTAAAAGACAATGAAGGTGACTTGATGAAAAGGAGTAAGGAAAAGAGCAACTCTATGAGATTCTGTTTTTGTTTTTGTTTTTTTTACAAAAAATTCAATTTACTCAAAAAACTTCTAGTGTCTACAATCTGGGAACATCGATTAGAATAAAAAGTACACATACCATTTGACCCAGCAATGACTCCTGAAGTTTGTCCCACAAAAGCACTGGCTTGTAAAGGGTGATGTATGAGGGTGTTTATTGTAGCGTTGTTTATAGCAGCAAAAAAAAAAAAAAAAGACCTGGGGAAAAACTTTTGATAAGAACTTCCTAAACTGCTCCTTTGAGTGCTGTATTCCATGATTATTAACTATAATGTATATAAGAAGGATTCTGTGTGTAAACATGCTTTAGAAACACTGATTTATACAAAGTTAGACAGGTTTGTTTATCATGGGCTTCTCAGAGCTGTTAAGATGCTTATTCAGATATTATTTTAGGAAGTATGTATTGAGCCAGGAGTAGTGTTGAGGAAAAAGAGCAATGATCAAGACTAATTCTCGCAATGCAAATTAAAACCATGAGATATCACCTCACACCTGTCAGAATGGCTATCATCAATCCATCAACAAACAACAAGTATTGGCGATGATGTGGAGAAAAGGGAACCCTTGTACACTATTGGTGGGATTGTAAATTGGGGCAGTCATTATAGAAAAATATATGGAAGTTCCTCAAAGAATTAAAACTAGAACTACCATATGACCCAGCAATCCCACTTCTGGGTACTTATCTGGAAAAAGCCAAAATTATTAATTCAAAAAGATATATGCACCCCTACATTCATTGCAGCACTATTTACAATAGCTAAGACCTGGAAGCAACCTAGGTGTCCATCAATAGATGACTGGATAAAGATGTGGTACATATATACAATGGAATATTACTCTGCCATAAAAAATAATGAAATCTTACCATTTTGACAATATGGATGGACCTAGAGGATATTATGCTAAGTAAAATAAATCAGACAGAGAAAGACAAATACCATATGATTTCACTTATATATGGAATCTAAAAAACAAAATAAATTAACAAACAAAACAAAAACAAACTCATAGATACAGAGAACAAACTAATGGTTGCCAGGCTGGGGGTGGGGGGGTGGGGGCTAGGTAAAAAAGGTGAATGGATTAAGAAGTGCAAATTGGTAGTTACAAAATAGTCACAGGGGTATAAATTATAGCATAGGGAGTATAGTCAACAAAAATGTAATAATTGTGTATGGTGTCAGGGGGCTACTAGGTTTGTGGGGGGGATCACTTCATAAGTTATAGAAATGTCTAACCACTATGCTATACACCTGAAACTAATATAACATGAAATGTCAACTGGAATTGGAATTAAAAAAAAAAGACAAATTGTTGCTTCCAGGGAACTTTGAGTCACCCCCGAATCAGTAATTGGAAGTGATGAACTTCTCTTACAGGAGAAGGGCAGGGAGCTAGGAGTGCAGTGGGCGAGTCTAACTGAACCGGCACTCACAGGGCTTCCTGGAAAAAGGGACTTGAGGTGGAGAACAGAAGAAATGGGAATCAGCCCAAAAAAGGGGAGAAGGGAGAGGAAAGAGGGAACCGCATATGCAAAAGCACTGCTGAGAAAGAGAAGGGTGCGTGTGAGAAGCTGAAAAAGCCCCATGTGGCTGCAGCAGAGAGAGAAAGAGCTGGGGGTGGGAGGTGGATTTGGGGGGCGGAGATGGAGGGATGGAGCAGACAACCTCAGGAGAAGTCAGGTCTTCACTCCAAAAGCAAAAGGTGTTTTAAAGACACTTTTACTGAGGTATAATTTAAATACCACAAAATCTACCTATTTTTGTGCATAGTTTGATGAGCTTTAGTAAATTTGTAGAGTTGTGCAACCATCACCACAGTCTAGTTTTAGAACATTCTTATCACCTGTAAAAGTTTCCTGTGCCCACCCCCAGCCTCAGGCAACCACCGGTCTACTTTCTGCCTCGATAGTTTTGCCTTTTCTAGAAATTTCAAATAAATGGAATCATATAATATGTCATCATATAAGTCTGGCTTCTTTCATTTAGCATGTTTTGGGGATTCATCCATGTTGTTGCAGGTATCTATCACCAGTTCCTTCTTTTAGTTGCTGAACAGTAGTCCCTTATGTGGATATAACTGTTTATCCATTTACCAGTGGATGGACACCTGAATTTCCCCAGTTTTTGGCTATAATGAAGAATGCTGCTATAAACATTCAATACACACAAGTCTGAGTGGACACATTTTCATCTCTTTTGGGTGGACACCTAAGAGTGGAGTTGCTGGATCGCTTTACCATTCTAGTGAGTGTGAAGTGGTATCTCATTGTGATTCTCTAAAGACTAATGGTGCTGAGCATCGCTCCAGGTGTTTCTTTGTCCTTCATGGATCTTTGGTGAAGTGTCTTGTTTCTGGGATTCCACATTGGTGACACACTTGAAGGACTCACAGGACTCAGGCAGTTATTTATACTTACGGCAATGGGTTATTCCAGCAAAAGCACACACACTGGACTAGCCAGGGGGAAAGACACGGCAAGCGGGGTCTGGAGGAATCCAAGTGAAGGCTTCCCAAGTTCTCCCTCCTGGGGTGGGGGGTGGGGAGGCGCACAGAACATGCTTCCTCCTCCAGTGGTGAAATGCAGCAACAAGATCCATTGTTTCTGGCCAGGGAAGCCTGCTTGAGACTCAGAACCCAGGGTTTTTATCGTGGGCTGGCGATGTAGGCACTCTGCCTGCCTGACCAGCCATGACTACGGAAATTCCAAACTCCTAGAAGGAAAGAAAGCAGGCGTTCGTTATAAATCACATCGTTTGTACAGTCTAGGCAAGCTGGTGCGGCAGGATTCAGTGCCCCAGGCAGATACCTCAGCCTTATCAGTTATAGATGTGTGCAGCCCTCCAAGAGCCAATTCTCAGATGCCAGCCCAGGGCCACCCCCACAAGCAGGCCCTTCTAAAGTGCAAAAGCAGACCTGCTGCACATGTCCAGTCAAATCTCTGGATCATTTTTAAATTGGGTTTTAGTCTTCTTTTTTTTTTGGAATTGGTAGAGGCCTTAACATACTCTGGGCATTAGTCATTTATTAGATATCCATTTTGCAAATGTGCTCTGCAGCTTGTCTTCCATTTTCTTAGAGGTGTCCCTTGGAAGGAGTTTGGACAGGGAAGCAATATGACCAGATTTCCGCAAACACAAAACTGCTCTGGTGCCGATGTGGAGAATGGCCTGCAGCAGGCAGGAGAGGTTGGGGAGGCCATGACAGTGGTCTAGGTACAAGTTGATGGTGGTTTAAATTAAAAGGTGACAGGAGGGATGAAGAAAAGAGGCTGAATAGGAGGGATGCATAGAAAGTAAGACTGACAGGCCATGCAAACACTCATGGATTTCCACCAGGAGAAGGAAAGGTAGGACTCCCCAAACTTGTCCACAGAACACAGTATTATTATTGTTTTGCATAGTGAAACTCCAATGAATTTGTGGGATTTTAGTGTTTTAATAATTTGGGAAAGGTGGGACCAGATGAATGTTAGGGTCCCTTCTAGTTTTCAGTCTTTGGTGCCATGAACAAGTCCTTTTCGGGTTATTTTAATAATTAAAAAATAGCCTGTGGTGTGACCTAGGTGCATTATTAGAGATTGTTTATTAGTCACACACACACATGTATCTATAGTGCTGGGTTTTGGCTCAAGAAAATAACCTCATGACTGAATTTGAATACAGTCTATGCATGGAGGCCATTGCAAAAAAATGGAATGCAGAAACTCTGTTAGCATAGAAAGTGCAAGGAGGGGATAAGGAAACTCATATTCCTGTAGCAACCCAATCACCAAATGTACCTTGCAAATCCGGGGTGCTGTTTAAAATGGGATCTCACATCATTCTGTCCCAAGCGACACAGACAATATTAAAATGAAAAATTCTTTCCTCAGGCTGGGCTACAGAGCTCCTCTCATCTGGGCAGCATAAGGCTAGAAATTCTATGTACCCAGGAGCCCAAACCCCTGTTTTACTATTCTTGCAAAATAAACAAAACACCCTGGCAAACTAGATGCAAAGAAGGCCAGAGGGAATGGAAGGGAATGTGAAATCTGTCCGCAGGCCAGAGTCAGTGCAGTAAATCAGGAGCACGGTGGTGATACGGTGGTGATAGGTATTTTCTCCTCTGATACTTACAAACAGAGGCTATGTGAATCGAGACAAAACGAGAGTACAGAAATACATAAATGGTTTCACTGGGCTATTTTAGAAGAGGACAATGTGAGGGCTCAGAAATGGAGGTTTTGCTATGATACAGCCATGAATCAGAGATGAAGGCCTTTCCTCCAAGCCTCGTGGGGCCCGGTACCCTGAGCCTGTGGAAAGGCAGACAGGGCGATGGTGGCATGTAAGGGCATTTGCTGTCAGGTGCACACCACGATAATAAACCCATCTTTAAGAAGGTGATAATGAATTGAGCTCCTCACGCTGCTCATTTTGCCCTCTCCTGCACCAGGGCCTTTGTAAACGCTGTACGTTCTGAAACCCAGTGGCCTCAACCCATCCCCAAGTCTTGTGAGTTCTTCGTTCAGGTCTCAAATCCATCCTTTCTTCTCTGCCATCAGGGAAAGGGAATAGTGTTGGGGAACTGGGGAAGGGGAACAGCCAAGTTGTTGTCCCTCAATCTTAGTTGTGCAGGGCACAGCTAGCTCAGCTCTCAAGTCCAGTCGCCATCTGGCCACCCGTCGGCAGCTCATGGCCTGCTCAGCTCAAGGTGCCGTGTTCAATCTTAGAGGCGGGTGGGCGTAGCCCACCATCGCAAGTGGGAATCGAACCAGAAACCTTGTTGTTAGGAGCACGTGCTCTCACCAGCTGAGCCATCCTGCCACCTGTTGGCAGCTCATTGGCAGCTCAGCTTGGGTGCAACTCACTGGCCCATGTGGGAATCGAACCGGCGACCCTGTTGCTTAGAGCTCGTGCTCTTAACCAGCTGAGCCACTTGGCTGGCCCCCCTGATGTTTTATAGGGCTAAACTTTGTACAGTTTTGAAGGCCCCTTTCAGAAAAGGAATAAAAATTATGAATATGAAAGCGGACGCCCACATAATTAGGGACTCTCTAAGTGTGTTGGAAAGAGCCTGAGCCAGAGAAAGGCTAGAGCTTAAGCTCCATTTGTTTCTCGGGGAAGCTGCTGCCTCTGGCTGTCAGAGCACACGGTGTATACACCATTAGAGCCCCCATCACAGTTTGTAATCATATGTTTAGTTGTGTGATTATTTGATTCCTGTCCATCAACCAGGGGACTGTGAGTTTTTAGAAGGGAGAGACTGTGACTATTTTTTATTGTACGCCTGATGTTTAATCTAGTGCCTGGCACGTGAGAGGTCCTCAATACATACGATTTGAATACATGAATCTTGAATTTTCAACCATCATAATGATAATCCTAAAAATACGACCTTCCACTCATTGACGGTCTCCATTTGCCAGGTCCTGAATGGCAGTTCTGAGGGCACAGGGATGTTGGAAGCCTCAGCCTGTAAAAACATGGGAGAGAAAGCCACTATGCGCACCTAGAAGGAAAGGGACGCTGAAGTCGGGGTGCCTCTGAGTCAAGGATGTGGCTTCTAATTTCTACCATCAACAGCACTGTGTCCCCCAGGATAAACATGGCTTCATGAGTGGTGGGGACTGTCTCCCAAACTAGTTCTTTTTTTTTTTTTTTTTTTTTTGAGTCATCCTGCCACCTGTTGGCAGCTCAGCTCGGGCTGGGCATCGAACCGCTGTTGCTCAGAGCTCAAACTCTTGAGTGAGCTCTTAACCAACTGAGCCACTCGGCCGGACCCCAAACTAGTTCTTTATAAGAGGAGGCTATTTTAAAGCTGCTGCTTCCTGATTTTCCCTCTTGGGAAACAGAGAACCCCTCTTCATATATATATACACCCCCACAGCCATGTCCTTAAACCAGTGGGTCTCAACCAGGATGATTATTTGGTGCCCCAGGGGACATGTGGCAATATCTGGGGCATTTTTGTTGTTACAGTGTGTGTATGTTTGTGTGTGGGGGGGTGGTACCACCAGCATCTAATGGATAGAGGCCAGGGATGCTAATCCTCTTACAATGCACAGGACAGCCTCCCACAGCAAAGAATGACCTGGCCCAGAATGTCAGTGCTGCCTACACTGGGAAACCTTGCCACAGGCTCCCTCTCTATCACTTTTTCTGGACACCACAGCTGTGTGCAGGCTTCCCCCCCCCCCTTTGCTGTGTATACTCCGCACAGAACAGTGGGGCAACGTTGCTCAGAGATATTCACCAGAGTAAATGGGATGTAATTTCAATCATACATTCAGCTTATTAAAAATAAACGTATACTTATTGTAACAGTCACTGTTTTAGGCCAGTGCATTGAATGGCTTGGGAATCTTATTAAAATGCAGATTCTGAGTCAGCAGGTCTGGGATGGAGCCTGAGCCTGCATTTCTAACCAGAGGATGTAAATACTGTGGCTTGGGACCACGCTTGGAGTAGGAAATTTCTAGGCACTTAGGCTATATCAGCAAACAAAACAAAGCCCCCCCCCGCCCTTGGAGAGCTTCCAGTCTGGTTAGAAGGATACTGGACCCAAAGAAAGGTGGACAGGCTGGAGTCAGAGGCACTCAGAGACACAGAAAATCAGAGGTGGAAGAGAACAGACAATGGCTAATCAAACCTCCCCATTTTAGAGGTTGGGAAACTGAGGCTTACAGTAGGGAAGGGAGCTAAAGTCACACAACTTGCTGTGGCAGCTTTTGGACAAGGCTGTTGGATTCCTATTTCCCTGCATTATCAAGGTTCTTAGGGACCTCTTGAGGGTAAGAGCTCAATCAGGGTGGGGAATGGCCAGCAGTGGAGGTCTGGGAAACCCCCATAGGAAGGTGTCACGACTTTGGATCCAGGAACCCAATTTCCTAGTTCACTCATTGCCGTTATGACACACTTGCAAACACTGGGATATTTGGGGAGGTATTACATCCTTTCTGACTGAGCCTGTGTTATTCTGCATGACTAAATCTGTACCAAGGATGAACCAGGGTAAAGGTATGGAGAAGGAAATCCTGAATGCATTCAGGCTTTGGGGCAGGAAGTGTGAACTCAAACAGAATTAGTCCAATCAAAACCTCTTCCTAAATGAGTGGGATGACAAGTCCTGAAGCCACACCAGGCTCCTGTGCTGTCTGTAAGGGCCCACTCACACAGGGCCATCTACCCAGAGCTCCCGATTACAGAACCCTTTGCTCGGTGTTGAAAAGCAATTGTTTCTGGGCTGGCCAAGTGGCGCATTGGTTAGGAGTTGGCTTGGGACATTGGCTCTGAGCAGCGGGGCACCGGTTCGGATCCTACACTGAGGGGCCAGGGACGCTGCGCCCTCTACAGCTAAGATGGTGAATAATGGCTCCACTTGGAGCTGGGCTGCTGTGAGTCTCCGACGAGGGGCTGGCCAGCAGCTGGCATGCGCTTTCGTGAGCTGCGTCTTGCCGTGAGCAGGCGTCCAATGGCTGGCGAGTGACTGCCTCACCTAGGAGGAGCACAATGATAATACCAACATGGGCCAGTGAAGCGACGTCCTCCACAACTAGACTGAAGAATGAAGGGACGGCAGCTTGTCTGTTTCCCTTCCCTGATTCCCCAACGCTGTTTCCCTCCTCCAATTCCCCAATAAAATCTTTAAAAAAAAAAAAAAAGCAATCGTTTCCTCCACGGCAAGTACTTGGGAACAGAAACTTTTAAATTCATGCCAGTTTGATTAGAACAGTAGACAATTGCATGGAGTTGCTAAAAAGCAGAGCATCAGCGGGTACATCTGGCATTAATAATATAACAAAGGAAGAAAAACGAGAAACTTTTCATTAGTACTTTTTGATGTCAATTTATTATTTAGCCCTTTTTCAATACCCAAACAGGCAAGCAATCATAAAACATTCAAAAAGATCCTCTAAAACAGTCAAGGCATCTGTCTTACCTCAGTTCCTTTTTAGAAACCTGGCAATCAGAGGCCCTGCCATTTATAGAAGAGCTGTGTTAAAAATATCTGCTGTATCAAAAATATTGTTGGAGGATCACTCCTTAGAAACATTTTAGTGTAAATTTTATCAACGGCCAGGAGGCAGGCAAGTCATGGTTCCTAACAGAAAATTCAATGTAAATCAGCAAAGTGCTGCTTCCAAATTTTTGACTTCTAGATTAGTATTATTTTGTTTGAAACACGGAGTTGACAAAGCCCACCATTTGGTAATTAGCATCCTGTCAAATCTCTCTGGTCAAGACCAGCACGCTGAACCTGGTCTGAGCAAAAAAAATGCATTGTGGGCAATTCTGATCTGACTGTCAGGGGCCCCTGCTGTGCGCAGACCCGCCTTCGCCTTCGGTGCCCAGGCCACAATTACCATTTACAACATCAGACGGCCTCTTCATCCACAGGGTCTGAGAGCTTTGGCCTAATCCTAATGACCTGACACACAATCCTAACTTCTTGGATAAATGTGCATCTTTGTGATGCAGACACTTGCACCTCCCAAAAGAAGGTGTCTCTTTCTGAGATAGAAGGCTCTCCAGAAGTAAAATCATTGTTGAAATAATACAAATGAAAAAAGCAAAAAAGAAAAAGGGAAACAAAGATCTTCACGGCCCTCTCCTTAGGCGGCATGGCTGGCCCTCTCTAGCTTGTCTCTCCTTCCTGCATTGTTCTGGGCGCTCTTGCCTTTCTAGGAATTGTCCCTGGTATAGAGTTTGTGGTCCTTGATGTAGGCGATGACAGCGTCGGGAAGTAGGTACTTCACGCTCTGCCCTTGGCCCAAGGCCTGTCTGATGTGCGTGGCACTGATCTCGTTCTGCACGGGCTCCCTGGCCAGGTGGATGTTATGCTGGTACCTCTGCAGAATGGGTGAGCCCGAGATGTACCCCTTTAGGTCGTGACCCGCCCGGCCCACACACACCAAGCCGAACTTCTCCACTATTTCCTGGATGTGCTCGTCTTTCCAGAGGTCGGGGGTCTGGAAGGTCTTCAGGACATCTGCCCCACAGAGGAGCTTCAGTTCAGGCACAGCTGGAAAAACAAGGGTGGATGCCAGCAAAGTTACCGAAGGGTCATGGCCAGGAAAGATAACATATCCCATTTGAAATTTTCACAAAGTGCTTTCCTTGGAATGTACTGGGGACTCAATGTCTGTGTGTTCATGACTTAAAAAGAAAAAGCATGTAAATGAATCTGAAGCTACTTCAGGGATATAAGACAATGTTACTGATGAACTGCCAATTAATACAAAACAGTTTCTTATTTTCAGTGTTATGTCACATGTCTGTGGTTTCTGGGTCCCATTGCAGAGAGGTTCAAAGGCGGCGGGCTGCGCACAGAACCCCATCTTCTGATAGAAGGTAAGCTTATCAAAACACTAGGTCCTCAGGTTAAGTTACTGCCCTTATCAAAATCTATTTCAGCTGTCACTCCTGGTACTTTTATAAGTAAGATCTCATCATAAAGGTTAATTATAAAGGATTGTTGGATAATCAAAAGGTCTCTAAGACTCCCAGCTAGTGACCTTTTCATCTGTTTTCAAAAAAATAAAGCTCTAGAACAACTGATCAATGTGGATAATTCCTTGGCATTTGTTCTAACAGAATGGTGATTGTGATGATAAAAGACCTAACATTTACTGGGTGCTCACTATGAAAGCTATCGCAAAGTGCTTTATGTGTATAATCTCATTTCATCTTCAGAACAACATCATGAGGTAGGCGTTACTGTTGTGCCCATTTTTCGGAGGGGGAAACTGAGGCACAGAGAGGCAAGCGTGAAGTCACTTGCATGAAGTCACTCTTCTGGGGCAGCAGAACGGTCAGTATTCAAACCTGACAGCCAGCGCCAGGTGGGGTATTTGTAACTGCAGGGCTCTGCAGCCGCCTGCTGCCGCCTGCTGGCAGGAATTGAACATGCATCAGAATCGAGAAGCCCTTTCTCTATTTTTCTGGCCCCAGTTCACATTCACGTCCCCTTTTGACTGGGCTAATCTGGAAAGGAAAAATCAAGTCCATGTTAGAATCAACCAGCTGGATCTCTGGTCTTTCTGGAGGTGGATTCGAGCTTCGGTAAAAAGCAAAAACTGGGCTCCTTGGGCCGGCCAAGTGGCGCAATAGTTAAGAACTGGCTTGGGACGCCAGAGGGCCCCGGTTCGGATCCCACAAATGAGGGCCAGTGACACTGCCCTCTACAGCTAAGATGCTGAACAACAGCTCAACCTGGAGCTGGGTTGCCGTGAGTCACTGGCGACGGCATAGGCTGCAGCCCCTGTGGCAGTGGGTTGCCATGGGCTACCGTGTGTGGCCAGCAGCCAGTGTGAGCGGCCAGCAGCCGCCGTGAGCGGCCGTCCAGAAGCCGGTGACTGATCTGCCTCATCTGGGAAGAGCGCAATGATGGTGCCAACTTGGGCCAGTGAAGCAACGTCCTCCACAACTAGACTGAAGAACAGAGACGACAGCAACTTGTCTGTTCCCCTTTCCCCAATTCCCCAGCACTGTTCCCATCCCCCAATTCCCCAATAAAAATCTTTAAAAAACAACAACAAAAAAACAACAACTGGGCTCCTAGAGCACTGACATCACTCAGTCGCCATGAAACCTGAGCTGGATGGGGCTTCAGGGACAGCATCTGCTGGGGGAAAACCTGATGTGAGTGGTCAGTTTAGGCTCCTCTATTCCGGAACCTTCAAAGGAACCTGGACATGGACCAGAGAGATGAGTTTAAAAAGGAGCACCAGACCAGCTCTGGAATGGAAAGTGAGAAATTGGAGGTGTCATGGGAGGTCTGAGTTCCAGCCTCAGTTGGGCACAGGCTACTCTGGGGCTGGAGCCAAAATCCTTCCTTCTCTGGGCCTCAGTTTCCCAATCTATGAAATGGTGGGCACTGGACTTGTTGACTCAGCAGAGGTAATTACAGAAACACACTTTTCAAACCCTCTAGCAGCAGACTATTAGTATAACGAAATGGTATTCAAACATTTATAAGAACTAGGACTCTAGAGCCAGACACCTTAGATCCAAATCCTGGCTCTGCCATTCAACAGCGGAGTGACTGCAACTGGAAAGTGTGGATATTAACAGTACTTATCCCATAGAATTATTTTAGAATGAACTTACAAATGGAAAGTACTTAGAACAGTGCTTGGGACAGAGCAAGTGTGATATCCATCCATCCATCCATCCATCCATCCATCCATCCATCCACTTATCTACCAATCCATTCTTCCATACATCATCCTTCGAACAATTATGGGGCATCTCCTAACGCCTGGCCTTTTAAAACCATTAAAAAATATTCAATAACTCGAACTTTTCACTAATTTGGGCTGGTCCCATTGCTCACAACATATATGTGGACTTGAGGTTTTAATCTGTGAGGTTTTACTCTAATTTGTTATTTATTCAACCACTGTAATATAGCAAGATAATTATTTAATGGTTGAATTATTTATTAAACCATTGTAATATAGCAAAATAATTTAGCAAGATAATGTAACAATTTGGTGGTTTTTATATGGTCTTCCCAGGGCCTCCTGAGGCCTGGGGCACCCTTCCCAGTTTACAGGTTAGCGAACAGAGAAGACACCCCCTTCTTCTCCCAGATTTTTGTGGGGATGATTTCCACATATGAGTTTCAATATTAGATACTGTTTGATTCATTAATGATGACAGTAAGAAAAATGATTCACTCCGAGACTTTGCCTACAGGGGACAAGTGCTCATCCCATCCCTGTTCCTCGAGTCAAAGACACGTCTTAATCGGGCGACATGTGCCTCAGACCCCAGCTCTGGGCAGCCCTGCCATCACGCCTCCCAGGGGCATGCACACACCCCTTTCAGATCCACTCACATTACTGCAACCAGATCTTCAGATTGAGCGGCTCTGACTGTCCAAGTCCAAAGTACGCAAGTCTCAGGTGTTGAATAAAGGCAACAATGTGATTCATTTTAACAGTGACACAGTGACATAAATAGGATGTCATTGTCATTTTCAGGCCATGTGCTCTCTTTGAATAGCCATAGGCTTTGAAAATCAGATGAAGCAGATATTTACATAGAACATGAAGCAGTACTACCAGGACCTTTTCTTTGAATGTCCAGTGGCCCTCCTTGATATCAAAGAGCACCACCCTGAGGTCAGCCAGCCCTGGGTTCAAATTTCAGACCTTCTAGGATTCAGGGATAGTTAGAGCAGATGGGCCTGCTTCCTGAGCTGTAAAATGGGCATGATAAAATCTCTTGCGGAACTTATGGAAACTGAGAGAGGGAAGGAATGCTATGTGAGTTTCCTGCTTTGTATAGGGTATGGACACTGCCTTGTGGACCACACAGACACACACGGGTGTGTGGGACTTCTGAGTCTAAACAGGAGGACACCAGAGATGAAGCCAGGTATTGGCAACTGTAGGGCAGCACTCAAATTAACCAGACAAGGCCACCTCGGAACAGTCAGGGTGAAATGGAAAGGGAGTCCTCGGAAGGTCCCTGAGCTGTGCTCAGCCCCATTAGCCAAGGGCGGTGACCACCTTCACAAAAGACAGGCACAGTGGGTCTGTTAGAGGACCCAGGCACCATCCATCCCGGTGTGACACCCAAGTAGCCCAGAATGCAGCAAGTAACCCACAGGACCCTGGTGAGGTCAAGGAGGACTGCAAATCACAGGCTTGAGGGGCAGAGCAGGGCTTCGGCAGCCAGAAAATGCTGAGCTTAGCCCGTGACTTGCATTCCTAGAGTAAAGCAGCACACGATAAAATACATAGCACACAAAGTGGTCCTTTGGAAATATGTCACTAGTAACGTACACGCCACCTCATCAAAGGCCAAACTTACACTGAGAAAAACCCCACCTTCCTGTTTTAAATCGCTCTAGTATTTTTTTTTCTGATTACAAATATGAAATCTGTATCGATTATGGAAAACATGGAAAATATGTAAGTATTTAAAGAACAAAACAACAGCAGCAACAATAATAATTCTGCTTTCTATAAAAATCGTCAATATTTTGGTGTATTTAAAAAAATCCTTTCTCTTGATTTAGACATGCACATAGATGTGACAGTATATCTACATACTCTTATATACTTGAGATTAAAGATAGTATTGTATCCTGATTTTTCCCACTTGCCTCATAAGCACTTCTCTATACCATGAAAACCTCTTGTGTAACAGATACTTCATCATATGTATATAGTATAATTTAAGTATAATTTATGTATACATTCCCTTATGTTTAAACATTTTATTTTTATGCCATTTATCACAGCAAAAATTGCTGTGATAAACATCTTTCTGCATACATCTTTGTCCCAATTTCTAATTATTTCCTCGGCCAGGTTCCTAGGAGGGGGCTATCTCAAGCAAGTGGCGTAACGTTTCTTCAAGTCCCTGATATATTCTGGTAAACTGAAAAGCCCACTTTTCATTCAACAAGGTGAAGACGATTTCGGGTTTGAACAGACAGAAAGAGGATACAGGACAAACCCCCAACATTACGGGGACAAGCGGAGTAGGCTAGCAGCCCCTAGAAAAATTAATCCGGAAAGAATGTGGGATGAGCTTTGGCAGAGGGAGGGGGAGAGAGCCTATCTCAACGAAAGCCGCTGAGACTGGTTTCACGGAGAAGGTCTCACAGGACAGAGAGGTTTCCAACAGGGGAGCCAAGAAGGGAAGGGGAGGGAGGAACAGGTGGGGCGAAGAGCCAGGACAGGGGTTCCCGAGGCAACTGCGGAGAGGCGAAGTGTGAGAAGCTGGGGGCCTGAGGGCGGTACCCCTGCCTCTCACCGGAAGCTCCCGCCTGCCCCAGCGCCTGTGCTGCTTCCTGCCCTCGCGCCTTGCTCAGCTGCCCTTCTGCCCGGAAATGCCCCCAACCTCAGATAACCTACTGATCCTAGCGCGTCGGCACAGGTGTCTCCTCCTTCAGGCAACCTTCCTAATCCATGCCTGGACTCACCCCCGTTTCCAGCTCAGCTCAGGGGCTGGGGCGGGCTGTCTCTGTCCTCAGCCTGAGCCCAGAGCCTGGTCCAGGGGGCTGCTCAGTGAGCATCTCTAGAATCCTAGTAGGAGTGACGCTGAGCCAGAGATGATTCAGCAAGGAGGCAGGAGGCTGCGAATGAACCCTGTGCGGGGCTCATGGCTGGCACACAGTGGAGATGGGCCCACACAGTCAGCGGAGGAGAGGCAGACAGAAGCCAGAGGACCATAATAAGCACTGGATATGCTGATTACACAGGAGGCTCTATAACACCTTCTTTCTCAGATTCCTGCTCCCGTGTGCAGTTCCCTAAACTGGCTGTAAAGCACATCCCAGAGTGCCTATTAAACATGCAAATTCCCAGAGCCCATTCCCACTCAGGTCTGGGGTGTGGCCTGGGAGTTAGTGTTTTTAACAAGCGTCACAGGTGATTCTGCTGTGAGTGATCCTTAGGCCAGCATTTGGGGAATGCTGCATGAACCCTTTAGGGCAGCGGTTCTCAACCTGTGGGTCGCGACCCCTTTGGGGGTCGAACGACCCTTTCACAGGGGTCGCCTAAGACCATCGGAAAACAAAAATATATTTACATGACGATTCATAACAGTAGCAAAATTACAGTTATAGAGTAGCAACGAAAANCAACCTGTGGGTCGCGACCCCTTTGGGGGTCGAACGACCCTTTCACAGGGGTCGCCTAAGACCATCGGAAAACAAAAAGATACTTACATTACGATTCATAACAGTAGCAGAATTACAGTTATAGAGTAGCAACGAAAATAATTTGATGGTTGGGGGTCACAACATGAGGAACTGTATTAAGGGGTCGCAGCATTAGGAAGGTTGAGAACCGCTGCTTTAGGGCCTGGTGGCCTTTTCAAGTCCTTCTAGGCGAGTGTTTCCCAGTCTGTTCCGCGGAGCGTTCGTTCTCAGAAATACCATTAACAAGAATTCCATGATCAAAATGTGAACATGACTGTTATTTCCCTTTCTTGTAGTCCCAATGCACATGAACGAAGTAAAGGTTCTGAAAAGTCCTGCAGTGAAGAAATCACTGTAGATTTCCCGTGACATTCCCAAGGCCTCCTGATCTGGAAACAGTGTCCCACCGACCAAAGTTGAGAGAGGCACAGCAGGAAACCCGGCAGATGCACCTGCTGGAATCTGGGCTCAGTGGGACCAGTGACACTGCTGGTGTCACATCCTGCCCTCCCAGCACCCAGTGCTCCGGTTTGTTTGCATGAGGGGGCTATGCCTTTGACCCCCAATACCAGGGCTGCCATTAGAGAAAGAAGGTACTTTGAAATCACAGCTGACAAGGTTCCATCACACACCAGGAATGGACCACAGGGTAGAAACCCAGGGTTACGAACTGAAAGGATCATCCAAATCAACTTTAAAGTTTCTTTAAAATAGGTTTCCTCTTCTGAGTAAACCATGGAGTTACACTGCGATAAGTATTAGTCTCTCAGTTTAAGGGTTATAATGGCACATTTTGTATTCAAAAAGGGAAAAAAACACCCTAAAAAAACAAAACAAGAAGTCTAAGGCTTTTAAAAGGACCCCATTATCACTTACCCTGTTTATGCCTGTGTGGCCCTGACTGTAATCCATGTCACAAGCACAAGTCACAAAAGGAAACTCCTTTGCGGTAGAAAATCTCCAATTAGCATGACCATGTATAAGGGGTGGTGGCGGATTGTTTAATTTGACCTTTCAAACTGGGAAGTGTCACCCCATCAGGCCAGCCTTAAAATCCTCATCTGTGCCCAGAGGGCTGTGACTCCTGTCAGTTGTCCCTCCCACTGACGAGGGGGTCAGTGGGGTCAGCACCTACCTGCGGGCGCCAGGGAGACACTCCTGCTGTGGTCTGGGCCTTCCGTCCGGGGCAGAGATCCGAGCAGCTGACTATGGTGATGCCTGCATTGTAAACATACAGCTCAGGATGTGTCTATTCTGCCAATAGTCCCCCCAAAGCCACCGAGGGGCTCTCAGATTGTAAGTCTCAGCCTGCTTTCGTCCATTTAAGGTAACTCATTCCACAAACATTTGCTGAGGGCCTACTATGTGCCAGGCCCTGTGCCAGGTGTTGGGACAGAAAGCAGCTGCCATGGAGTCCTCACAGAGCCCCCTATCCAAGACAGTTCACTGCCTTCTGTGAGTCCTGGGTGAAAGGAGCATATTTCTACTCCTTTTCCACATTTTCTTTCAATTATCTCACTTTTTTAAAAGTTGAGTAGGGAATAAAGACATGGGTTATTAAAATCAGACAGACCTGAGTTCAAAATACAAATTTTCATTTGTAAGACCAGGATAATAACACCGACTTTTTAGACCTTTGTGAAGGCAAATGAGCTACTACACAGTAGGCGCGGGCACAGTATGTGGCCACCAGCCGGATCTCAAAGGAGATGCTCACTCTCAGGTTAAGTCAGTATCTTAGGACACCAGAGGGTGATGGCTAAGCATCTGGCTGGGAGTCAGGCTGCTCGGGTGGACTCCCAGTTCCCCCACAGGCAGGCTGTGTGACCCTGGGCCCGTGGCTTCAGGTCTCTGTGTGGATGGTTCAGCATCTGCAAATCAAGGAATAATAATAGTGCCTGCCTCTGGTGTTGTTATGAAGATTAAAGGAGCTGTCCATGCAAAGTGCACTGAACAGTGTGCAGCACAGAGCAAATCTTATTACATGTTAGCATTTCAAACGTGATTAGACAGGCACCAATTTGGCATGCGTGGCTCTTTGAGCATTTTATCCTCTGCAAATCAAGAGATACCTGTATGTATCTTCTTTTTTAAAATCAAACAAAGGTAATCGCTTTGTCATATTAATTTGATCTTCTACCTTCTACCTACTGTACTATGCATTTACAAGAGCTATAGTTGGGAGGGAGCAGTGCCTGGTGGTAAAAGCATGTGCTTTACAGCCAGAGGTGGTGGGTTCAAGTTTAGGTTCTCCTGCTCGTATGATCCTGGATGGGTCACTAGCACTCTCAGGGCCTCACTGACCTTGTCTGTTAATTGGTCATGAAAGTTAATGCCGGCCTTATTTCCGTCAGTATCACTAGACTATGCTAGAGGAGGCGCTTTTAACCTGCCAAATGCTGGGGAAGTGGTTCGATGCTGATTATTACTGGGGGAAGGCTCAGTGAAGTTCTACAGCTAGACTGCCTGGGTTAAATTTCTGGTGCCAGCTTGTAGCTGTGAGATCTTGGTGGGTTCCTTAAGCCATCTGCCTCCAGTTTCCTCGTCTATAGAATGGGGCATAATGACAATATCTACCCCAGAGAGCAGCTGTGAGGATTAATTGAAGAACTTAGCACTGACCCATGCACTGAATGTGCCCAACAAACATCAGCTGTTATTATTACCACTGCTCCTAGTCTAGATTCCCCATTAGATTGTGAATAAGGAGCTCATTTAATTCATTTTATAGTCTTAGTACCTATGAATGGCTAACCTACAGTTGGCTGAATTCAGGAACAATGGAAGGAGTGAATGAATAAATACATTTAATTCTGGTCCAAAGTCCTTTCTGATGACCTCAGAGACTCAGCTGAGTCATCTTACGGGCTAGCTGTGTTCCCATATTGTTCTTGCTGCTTTGATTTCAGTAAACTCTGTCTCTGAGGATTCACTCCTGGGTTAGTATGGAATCTCACATCAAACTGAAGTAGGTTTGCATCTCAACTCCACTCTCTAACTGTAGGACTTTAAATGTGTTACTAACCCTATCAGAGCCTCCATTCCCTCATCTATAAAATGAGGCTAAGCCCACCTACTTCTCAGGGTTAGGAGCTGACTAGATCGCACATGTGTGAAAGCACCTGGTACACATAGGCGATCAATAAAAGGTGGTGATTGACATTTTACTTTACCTACCTTGAAGCTCCCAGGTCAAGTTGACCCACCTTGGAATATTAGCTGGATCTCTGAACCCTGGTGTTCAAATGATTACTTTCAGTGCCGAATGCCTCTTCCTCACAGACCTCCACTCTGCCTCCGTGGGGCAGTGACCCTACTTCCTCTTCCTGCCTGCCTGAGTGGACTCTGGTGTGCCCAGCCCTGGCCCTGAGGCTGACTGGCAGCACATTCTCTGCGTCCTCAGCAGCACCACTGGTCTCCAGGGACGCCCGATCAGAGGGTCACTGTGGCAGGAGCAAGGTCAGCCACGCCATGTTTCTACCTGTAGATCCCTGGTTTTGAAGACGGCCATAAGCATGGTGTCAGAGTCGAATAGACTGGGGCCCCACCACTTGTTTATGTTGTATGGCTGTAGTTAATTTAGCCTCTCTGAACCCGTTTCTTCATCTGTAAAGTGAGGACAACATAAGATCATGTTTGCAAAGATGATGATGATGATGGACCACATCATGGGGCACTGTGTCACCAGGGCCCTCACCTCACAAGATGGGGAAAAGGCCAGTGAGATAAGTATCAAATGACCTTAAAGCATGAAAGCTGGCCTAGATTTTTAAAATTTAGAGTAAAAATAAGCAGCCTGATAAGGAGAAAAAGAATCCCCAATAAATCCCACAATGAGTTAACTTCCTAGTGACATTTGTTATTGTCACTATGATGTAAATTCACTTTTGACTCTATTAAGAAGATACAAAGGGTGGGGTAGACTTCTACCATGCTTTTAAAGTCAAGAATTTTAACCAGCTTTTCAATCTTAAAAAAAAAAAAGTTCTTTTGGTGGTTTTAGCAAAGCATTAGTAACCAAACAAATTTTCTAATGCAATGAATACACATTGGAGATGAAGCTCTCTCTAAATAGTGAAAAGAAAAAATCTTAATCAGGTATCTGATAAAATGGTATTGACTATTTTTATCAGTGGATTCTCAACCTTGGCTGCACAAAATAAATCATTTGGAGACCTTTTAAAAATTACCCATACCTAGACCTTACCCTAGACAAATCATAATCTTGGGGGAGGGGGTATTTGAGCATTTTTTTCTTAAAAAAAAAAAGAAGCTTTCCAGGTGATTCCTACAAGCAGAGTTGAGACCACTGGTTTGGATGGATCTCAGTTCAAATCAAAAGCCTGATTCACATGCAGTACTTGGTGACTGAGGCTGTGGTCTCAATCCTGGCCACAGGTTAAAATCACCAGGGAGCTCCTAAAAACCCTGATGCCCTGCCCAGACCAGTGACATTTCATTCTCTAGGGTAAGACTCAGGCATGGATGCTTTTGAGAGCTCCCTAGGTGATTCAACGTTTAGCCAGGGCTAAGAAGCACTCGATTAAAGGATGTAGTAAAAAAAAAGAAAAAAAGAAAAACAATGTGTTTAGTAAAATCTTAACTCACGCCTGCATTTTGCAACAGGAGCATTAATGATAATATGCAGTACTGTAGTGGGTTCCTATTTATCTGGGAATGGCTTATCTGTTTTGAGGCTAAATTACGGGCTCGTGTTAAGGATGCAGGGAAGTTAGCTGACATTATCAAGCACCTAACATAAACCAGGTGTTTTGCCTACGCCACCTCATTTAATTCACATAGTACCCCAGGAAAGTAGGTGGTATCATCCCTGTTTTATTAGGTGAAGAATTGAGACTCAGAGAGAGAGAGGCTAACTCACTTAGATCGAGTCACTTAGCTAGTAAACTGGGCTCCAAAACCTAGGCCTGGGGTGGAGGAGGACCTCGGCTGTCTATCTCTGACTACATCTTAAAGCTAAATGATTTGTTGGATTATCTATTGTTTTGTTTTTATTCCCCTCTGTTAGCCTAGATAAATGAGAGCTGACTATAATGGCTTATTCTGAAAGGATGATACAAGTGTAAATTTATTCCTTATGTTAAAAAAAAGAGAGAGAGAGTGCTTGTGTCCTAACAATCATTTCATATTTGCTCTCCTTTTAATTTGGCAACAGGTTCTGAAGTAACACTGCAACTGCTGAATGCGTCCAGCTGGTTCTTTCCCCAGTAAAAAGTAAATAATAAGAATCAGGATATGAAACTAAATGTTTACCTTTACTAAAAAGGTAAACATTTTTCTTTCAAGTTACTTTGAAGAGAAGTAAAAAATGAAAGTCAAAACAGATTATGAACAGACCTGCCAATTATCTGACCCTGTCCCTTGTGATTCTCAATAGATTAAGAAACGCAGTCCACAATTTGCAATTCCTTCCAGCAGAGCTGGCTGTCATTAGGAGTGAGGCAGCCCCATCTCACAATCCCCTCTGACAGCCAGGACAGGTGGGACTTCCTGCTTCTCTAGCAAACTCCCAGTACCGTTTCCCACACACGAGTCAGTGACCCATGGTCTTAACATGCAGGGCTTGCCAGGGCTTTTAAACAGCAAATTACTTATGCTGCAAATTACTTATACAGCAATTCCAAAAGGGGAGGGGGGGAACCCCCTGTGTAACTATTTCTGGATTCATAGTTTTTTCTCCCCATTTTAAAGTCTAGATTTATAGAATACAAGATTTATATAATTAGAAAAGATGGCTTATTATGTAAATGCAGTTTTCAACCTACTCAATGATGACAATAAGAAAAGGTCCCATTTACTGAATATTCTTATGTGGTTCTGGGTCAGAAAAGTTATTTAGGTCTTTAAAAATCCTCATTAGGTTGTATTGTCCCTGTTTTGCAAGTGAGAAATGTGTCTCAGAGAAGTTAAGTGCCTAAAGTCACAGAGTTACTAGGTGGGGGCAGTAGCAAGACGGCGTTTCCACAAAGTGCGTCTGAGGGACAGCGGTTTAGGGTTTTCTTCACTCAGGACCTCTTTGGGAATGTGAGTCTGTGGGTCTTTCTCCCTCTAGGGCGAGGCACTTCCTGGATGTTGGCTGAGAAGGCCTAGCTGAAGCCCCACTCAGCACTCTATCCCTACCTTTCACCCCGGGGGCTCTGCAGACACATCCCGTAGCCCCTGGTCATCACACACAAGCACATCCACTGTTACCTCAACACCTTTACTGTCTCCATCCACTGTGCCTGCTCACTCTCCCAGGGGTCCACCCGGATCCAGTCGGACGTCTGCAGCGCCAGCCGGACCATGGCCACTCGGTGCTGGGCGGCCACGAGGTCTTTCTTCCTGTAGTTGTCATTGACAGGAGAGATGATACCCCCGATCACCTGGTACATTCCTAGGCAAGGGAGAGCAGTGGTGTTGCACGGACAAACGCTCCCCACCTGGCAGCCTGAATTCAGGCAGGTGCTAACAATCTCCATGCCTCATCCTGGGTGGGAACAGACCATGGCATTCTCTCCTGAGTGGCCAGCTCCCTCAGGCCAGTGTAAAGGCCACCTCAGGGACCATGTGCTTGTCCTCTAGTTTTCTACAATCCAGAGTAATACTTCTAAGAGGAAGGCTATGAGGGTGAAGTCAGACGAGACTCCCAGAGAGCAGCGTGGATAGTTCAGGTCAGAGTAGGTGGGAGGAACACCATGGCTTCCCGCTGTGGGACTTACCAGAGGTATGCTCATCCTCTAATCATGAAGGGGGCAATAGGTACAAATAGTTTCTTAGTCAAATAGTGGATTCTGTGGATCAAAGATGAAGGGATGGGATTTAGCATGAAGCAGGTGGGTGGGTGATGGAAGTAAATTGACTGCACAAGCCCACCACGGGCTGCGGAGGAATGTGCTGCTACAGGAATGGGAAGGCTTACTTTGGAAAAGGCATGGGCTGCGCTGATTAGCAATGCTGTATGGCTCAGGGTCTGGAGAATGGGGGTTTTAAGTTTGAGCAATAGCGACATTGTAGAAGCTACAGAAAACCATCATGTAGAGTATGCATGCCACTCAAAGAGCCTTGGGTGGGAGCCCAGCTACCACCACAGGACACCTTAGGCAAATTACCAAGCTATTTGAAAACATAAAATACTTCGCCATTTGAACTTCAGTTTTCCTATCTGTAAAATGGCATAATATCTGCTTGGCAGGACCTTGTGGTAAGGATAATGTTTACATAGTGAGATAATATTTTGATTTAGTATATATTTTTTAAAAATTGTATTATGAAATATAACATGCACATAAAAGGGCATAAAACACATATGGTTTGACGAAGAGTTATAAAGTATATCATATCCTACTATAATCATCACGAATTAATAGGTTAATATACAGAACCGTTGTGGCACACCAGAAGTTTCCTATCACAATGGAAGTTAATTACTATTCTTTTTTTTTTTTTTTTCAGTTGAGCCATCCTGTCATCTGTTGGCAGTTCAGCAGCAGCTCAGCTCAGGCCGTGAATCAAACCAGTGACCCTGTTGCTCAGAGCTCGCACTCCTGAGTGAGCTCTTAACCAACTGAGCCAGTTAATCACTGTTCTTACTTTTATATTAATTCTCTTGCTTTCCTACATAGCACTACCTTTATTATTAACATGTTATGAATAAATGTATTTCATGTATTTATGCAGCCTTAAAACATAGATCCATTTTGCCTGCTTCTGAAACTTTTATAAATGGAATCACATTGAATGTATTTTCGTTAATTCTTTTTCACTTTATGTAAGTAAAGTTCACATAGAACCACAAGTTACATTGCTGCATAACATTCCATTGCATGATCATATACCAAATAATTGATCTATTTTACTGTTGATGGACTTGGTTGGATTCTGGCTTTGGATAAATATAAAGTTGCTATGAAAATCCTTGCACAAGTCCCCTTGTGCACACAGACCCACGTTTCTTAGGATACATACCTAAGAGTGGAGCTGCTAAGTCACATGCTAGGTGTGTCTTTGGCTTTACTAGATGATGCTCAACAGTGGTTGTAGTGACTTACCCTTCAACCGGTGATGTATGAGTTTCATTTGCTCCACATTATGACATATGGGGTTATTCTCAGGGTTTTCTCAATCTGATACAGGTGTAGTTAAATCTCATCATGGTTTTAATGTTTGTTTTCCTGCTTACTAGTGAGGCTGAACATTTATTCATATATATCATTAAACATTCAAGGTTAATTTTTTGGGGAGGGCCTGTTCAAATCTTTTGCCCATATTTTGGGTTGTCTGCCTTTTAATCATTGATTTGTAGAATACTTCATATATTCCAAGTAGTAGCTCTTTGTGGTTGGTTATATATGTCATAAATATATTCTCTCACTTTATGGCTTGTCTTATTCTTTTTAGAGAATATTTATTTTTATTATTTTAAAATTAAATTTATTGGGGTGACAATGGTTAGTAAAATTACATAGGTTTCAAGTGTACAATTCTATAGAATCTTTTTGAAAACAAAAGTTCTTCATTTTAATGTAATTGGGTTATTAGTCTTTTCCTTAATGGTTAGTACATTTTGTACTATAAAGATATTTTCCTATATTAGCTCATAAAAGGTTTATCGTTCTGTTTTTCACATTTGGGTCTTTGTGCATGATGTGAATCCTATTAAGTTATTTTCCGTTTGGATAGTCAATTATTCCATTTACCGAAAAGGCCCCTTCCACCTCACTGCTGTGCACTGCCACCTGTGTCAAAGGTCAAGCGTCCACCTGTGCATGGGCCTGTTTCTCTACTCTCTGTTTTGATCTCTTGCTCTATTTGCCGGTCCTAGTGCAATGTCACACTGCTTTGCTTAATGTTGCTTTATTATACATCTTGATATCTGGTTAAGCAAATTCTCCCACCTTGTCTTCTTCAAGAGTGTCTTGGTAATTCTTGGCTTTTTGCATTTTCCATATACATTTCAGAAAGAACTTGTCAAATTCCACAAAAATGAACCCCCACCTACAACCCAAAAAAACCTGTTGAAATTTTGATAGGAATTGAATTGAATCTATAATTCAACTTAGGAAGAACTGACATCTTTACAATATTGAGCCTTCCAATCCACAAGCATGGTACATCTTTCCATTTATTTAGGTCTTCTTAAATGTCTCTAACGTTGTACAATTTTTCTTGTACAGCACTGACACATCTTTTGTAAGATTTATTCCCAGGTACTTGGTTTTTTGGATGCCACTATAAATGGCATTTTAAAAAAACAAAACTTTTTTCCTGTTTGTGGCTGATATGTAGAAATATATTGATTAGGTTGTTGGAAAAGTCATGACGTATTTCATCTATGTTTTTCAAAGGTCATTTATTTATATAAAGAACAAAGATCAATCAATGCTATATTGCCCGTTTTGTTCGATAACCTTTTGCCATCTTTCAGTGAGCTTCATAATTCCTTGTTCATAGAAGGACCTGTCTTTATTTGCGAAAAACTGAACAAGGTGCTGATTTACAGCCTCATCTGAGTTGAACGTTATACAACGCAAGGAGTTTTGAAGACAGCAAAACAAGTAGAAGTCTGATGGCGCAAGGTCAGGCGAGTATGGTGGGTGTGGCAACACATCCCATCTAAGCTCCAATAATTTTTGACAGGTCATCAAACTTGTGTGTGGTCTCACGTTGTTGTGATGGAACACAACTCCTTTACAATTAACAAGCTCTGGACATTTCTGGATGATGGATTCGTTCAAACTGTCCAACTGCTGACAGTACACATTCGAATTGATTGTTTGATTCCTTGGTAGGAGCTCGAAAAACGTGACACCTGTAAAATCCCACCACACTGAGAGCATAACCTTCCTCTGATGAATGTCTGCTTTCGATGTCGTTTGAGGCAAATCATCACGTTGGGACCAAGACTGTTTGCACACCACATTGTTGTAAACAATCCACTTCTTATCACCAGTTATCAGTTGCTTCAAAAAAGGATCATTTTCCTCACGTTTAATGAGCACACTGTAGATGTTTATACGTGTCATCAAATAAACTTTGAGTTCAGGCAGAACCCAAATATCAAGCTTGCTTATGTATCCCAGCTTCTTCAGGTGGTCGTGAATGCTTGAATGACGGATGTTCAATGTTTCTGCAATCTCTTGTGTCGTGTAACGTGGGTTTGACTCGATCAATGTCTTTACTTTGTTGTCATCAACCTTGGTGGGCCTCCCTGATCAAGGAGTGTCGTTGAGATAAAAATCACCAGCATGGAATTTCGTGAACCATCGTTGGCACTGCGTTCTTGTAGAGCATTGTCACCGTAAACTTTATGCAACTTTTCAGAAGCTTGGCACGTGTTTTCCCTTTATGGAAGTAAAACAGTAAAACTGGCAAAATGCAGTTTGGTCTTCCATCTTCAACTTGTTGTAAAATCTCCAAAACTTAACCAAATCGCTCAAATTTTTTTTTTTAGAATGAAGCTAGAACTGTCAGCTGTCAAATGACATAGCAATAACATAGATGTGAATGATTCTAGTACTTCCAAAAATGAACTAGTGCCATCTGTTGCAAACGCGCGTCATGACTTTTCCGACAGCCCAAATATTGATTTGGGTATCTTGAATGTATATCTAGTAAACTTGCTAAACTCTCATATTATAATAATTCTAATTGTTTATCTGCAGTCTTTTGAATCTTCTATGTCCAAAATAGTACCATCTGAAAATACTGACCATTTTGCTGATTCATTTCCAATCCTTATACCTTTTGTTTTTCTTGTTGCATCATTTAAGACTGCTAGCATAATGCTGAATAGAGACGGTGTTAGCAGGCATCCTTATCTTATTCCCACTATCAGGAAAAAAGATTTCAAGTTTCATTAGTACATATGGAGCTTGCTGCAAGTTTTCTGTAGATACTCTTTTTCAGTTGTGGCTGAAATAATGTCATGTGTTCAATAAGACCCATTATTATTTTTACTTTTTCTGGGCACATAGGGAACTAATATTTCTGTTCCTCTTGAAAATAGGTTGGGTTTCATGTTAACTGAGTTATATTCAATGGAGTGTGGGTGGAAGTGATGTATGCCCCATCTAGTGTTGACCATAAAAACTTGTGCATGACCCTCCAATTTTCTTTATTTTCAAAAAATTTTTTATTGGGGAACAGCCATGGTCATTGGTTACACATTGCTTTCATGCTACCTTGAAAGAGGCATAGCTGACTCTTTTAAGGAGGGTGCAGCTCACAGTGGCCCATGAGGGGATCAAACCAGCAACCCTGGTGTTATCTGCACCATGCTTCAACTAACTAACTGGTCACCCCCTGCAATTTTCTTATAGTGAATCTGAAAACTATAATTAAGATAGCAAAGCCATAGATGGGGCCTAACTAGGATCCCTGAGATACAGCTTGGAA